ATCAGTAAGCCTTCTCCCTCTGACAGGGCTGCCTCCTCTCCGGGGGACCTCTCCCCAGATCCACATGGCAACCACTCAGCAGACAGCACCTGCCCCATCCCCCCACCTACCATTGTGATCTCAGCTGTCCTGAGGCACCCTCCACCCAAGTAATCTACTTAACCTGGGGGGACATTTTTTATACATATTTTCAAACCATATGAATGCATTGCATTTTCAACAAGTTGAAAGCAAGCAAGCACAACTAAAAGCAATATGTGATTGTTTTGTGCTTTTAATATGTGTTTGAAGTGTATTTAACTTGCCTTGTTCTTTCTATATAAAAAACCCCCCTCTTCTTTGTTTCGGGGAGCACTTCTTACTTTTAGTGGGACACGCCTGTCTGATACATGAATCTTTCCAAAGCCAAGTGAACTCGTTAAGCTTTAGAATTTTCTTTTAACAGTAATTGATCCCTGTATATTTCAAAAGCAAGATGCTTTAAAAACTGTGTGATGGCCGTTGACCATATTATAATAACTGGTGTTGTTATTGTTGTGGGGTGCTGTTGAATCAGTTCTGACTCATAGCAACCCCATGTGCCATAGAAGGAACCACGCTGATCATTCCAGGATGGCAGTGAGGTGAGGGGCGGGTGTAAGAGGGCTAACCGCGGGGTACTCGAGGCGCCCACGTGACAGGACTGGCAAGGCTGTGGGTGCTAGATCCTGCGCCTGCACCTGCGAGCCTGCCCGCCCGCCCGTCATCAACAGCATCAGCTTCCTGTGCGGCTTGGGCGGAAGCCTAGGAATGGGCTGCAAGGGAGCCCAAGAGGCGCCAGCCAGCCTTTTCCATCTTGTAGGTCTGCGCATCTGTTGTTCCCAGGACTCTGTGAGGCTAGAAAAGGAAAAGCTGCCTGTTCAGACACGGAAAAAGTGGAGAATCTCAATATGGAAAACTTCTACAGTGAAAATGAAAGAAAGCCTGCAGACCACGGAAAAATAGAAAATGACCAGAAGCCACAGTTTATGGGAAAGGCAGAATTATAAAAAAGAAGAAAGAGAGGCAGAAGTAGTTGATATTCCAGAAGATAAGGGAAAGGTGGAACTTAAGGGAAAGGCAAATGAGGAAATGCTCCAGGATCAAGGAGAGCCAGAGGGTGAGGGAAGGGGAAAGGCAGGAGGTGAGTCAGGGAAAGGGAAGAAAGTCGGTGAGGAAAGGGAACACAGTGTACCTGGCGTTTCCCTCTCAGGCATTGTCGGTTGAGCTTTAAGCCTGTGCTGAGATGTATTTTGCTTTGGTGTTGCTCTTCTTACCAGTAGCCTTTGACCCAGCTTCAGAGCTCTCTGGTTCAGTGGGGAGTTTTCAGGCATCTAGGTGGAAGAGATGTTCATGATTCGTCGAAAAAATAAAGCAGAACATTACATCTTTAAACATTTTTTTAAAGAATTTTCACACTCAGAAAAAGTGGCAGAGATGATGACTTGCAGTTTGATGTTGATTCTCATGTTTACATAGTGATATATATTCACTAGAATTTAGGGAAGACGTGTAAAACAATGATACAAGAAAGCATTTAAAAATGCATTTGAGAACATTTTTCTGAAAAAAGTATCATGAAGTTCTGTGTATACAGTGTTAAAAGATACAGATGACTCAGTGGAGTAGGCTACAGAAACACTTCATCCAATTCCTTGACATTGACTAAATTTTTAAATATTTCTCAGTTTTATGTTTTAGCATTTAAAGAAAAGGACTATCTACTGTAATCTGCTTTGCAAGATAGGTCTGTGGTTGTGTTTTTATTCTGATTAACTAGCCCTTTTCTCACATGATTATGTCATAAAGTGTACATTGTAGTTGAGTGAAGAGTAAATTATATTTTTGTATAGACTCTCTAGAGAATGTTTTTTATTATTTTTATGTTAAATAAAGCTAGATGTCATGGCTTGGGATCTTAAGGGACTTATCTAATACAGACATCGAACACATCTAGTATTTACAGAATTATTAGTGTTTGTTTTCTGTCTAGGAAGCTCATAAGTTGGTAGTTTTATGGAAGTCTAGAAAATAAAAATAATAATTATTCCCAGTCTTTATCCTTCTCACTACAAAAATAATTGGAAGAATTAAGAACAAGCCATGGTTTACTGTAAGCTCTTAACTGGTAGTGCATAATCAGAATCCGCAGTGTCATTTTCCTAAAATGAACGTAGAAAGCTAGCCTTTGCTATCTGTTCACATAGCTACTGCAAGCCCATTTTACACTTCAGAAAACGGAGTCCCAGTAATAGTTATGCGGATGCCTTGGTTTTCGTTAGCTGAATAATGCTCAGGCCTATTAAAACTTAGTGAGACTTAGACAATCATTTTATAGGAGCTTTTCTTCTCTTTGAGATGTCAGGCAATGCTGTCGATGCCCAGTTCTGTGTCACCAGTTCAAGAGGAGAATGCTCGATGGGGCTTGCTAGTAGCAAAGTCTGCATTGTACCTGGTGCGCATGAGTGGGGCCTGTAAGAGGTTTGGTGGCTCTCGTGTTTCTGATTATCCGTGGATTACCCTGAGCCTTCTTGACACATTTGAAATAACAGTTCATCTAAAGAACTACTTTTCTTTCAGTATCAGTAACATTTGCCTACATACATTTTTATTTATTTGTGTTTTATTTATTACAGGGCTACTATTTTCATAATATACATGAACAATGTCACAGAACTTTTTTTAATTTTAAAAAATAAATATAAGTATCAGTAAAGGAATTGAAAGACAGGATTGCATTTAATATATAAAAATGTTTAGGCAATAATTGAACAAAAGAATCCGGTCATATTTCTAATGCTAATGGAAATTTACCTTGGGTATTTATTCTCAGTAGTAAAGACCCAGCTTGAATGTAAATTTTGAATAGTGTAGTCACCAGTTGTTGTGACATAATAAAGAATTGGGCTATTTTGATAAAGAAAACTTTGTTCATTCGTTTAGAGAAATTGCCATGATTCTTCTGCTTTTTGACATTTCATATGCCCTTTTGGGTGGGAATACAAAGCTGTGAAAGTGTCCTAACCTACTTTGTACCCAAAGAAGCAAAGCTGTGCAATAGAATTAAGGTTTGTTTGTTTGTTTTGTGCTTAGTGTTTTCTCAGTCACAGTTTTCTTTGCATGATCTGCATGACCTATGATCTTTGAACCACTTTGGTACCTCCTGTTTTCATTCAGCACGTTTATTATAATATCTACTATTCTGTGAACAATGTTGAATAAAAAGAATAAACAGGTGGTATGGTGGAGCTGAGCTAGTGTACTGTGCATTAGTTGTGAAAAAAAAAAAGAAGTGAGCCATCTTTTGTTCATTTAAAATTGTGTTTGAATGTCATATGCAGAAGATGTTTTGTTACATTGCAAATTTTAACATATTTAATAAATGCAACCTGCAGATTAAATACAGTGTATACTAAGTAACTTAAAATTGCATTTCATAAATAAAGTTTCAAGAGAAAGCATCATTTTGTGTATACTAACACATTAAGTGTATGTCAGAAATTGATGTATAAATATATATTTAACACATTTTCTGAAATTAGACTGCAGTTTTGTTGAAAAAAATTTAGTGAGACACTTTATACTTTTATATAGTGATTAACTGTTAACCTAGAGTAGTTATAGAATAAGTTATGCTAGTGAATAATGTTTTGCTTTTTTAAATAACTTTGTAAAAGACCTTACATTATTCCATTTCAAGATCTCAGAATATACAAAAATGTAATTGAAATTAAGTGTTATTAAAAATTATTCAATGTTTCTTCCATAATTTTTAAACATTTTAGGATTTTGCAACTTTAAGGGTCATTATTTTTACAGTAGTTCTAATAATACTACATTTTTAATCATAGAAGATAATAGAAATTGAGCTATACCTGTTGAATTTATGATAACGCTTGTATATCTGACATTCTTGCTTACCTACAGGACTCATAGGGTACAAAATGTGGCAAGTAATTCTATTATAAATTTCAGGAAATCAAACTGTATGTGACATAGATATACATTTTGTCATACATGTGTTACAGTTCCCACAATGTAAAATCACCTGTTCTACTTCCTCCCTATATTTCCTTTTCCGTCCTTCCTTCTTTCCTAACCCTTCCAAGATCTGTCCTTGGGTAGGTGCTCCCCTTTTTATCTTAATTGGTTGATTTATTCCAATATGAGTTTACTTATCTAGTGTTATTGTTCCTCCTATAGACCTATTTATATGGCTTAAAATGGAGTTTATTTCTAGACCCAAAGCATTACCAAGGGCCATAATCTTTCCTGACCAATAAATGTCACTTTTTATTATGTTGAGCTTTGTTCCACATTTCTCTCTCCATCGATCCAGGCCTTTCTACTGTGCCTGTGCTCGGAGCACAGCTGAGCACTTCTGATTCCTCTGCTCTCCGGGTGGCAGAGACTGCTACCCGAATGTCTGTGAGACTTATCCGTGGGGCTTCAATTCTCTTCATTCTCTTTGCTCCAGATAAAAAGAGACCAATAGTTGGCTTCAGATGGCCCCTCGTGAGCTTTTAAGATCCTAGTTGATATTCATCAAAGTAGGGTGTAGAACATTATCTTAGTGAACTATGTTATGCCAATTGACCCCGATGTCCCCCAAGACTGTGGCCCTAAGATCCCAGGCCCACTAGTTTATTCCCTCAGGTGTTTGATTATAGCTAAGAAGTTTTCATAACTTAGACTCTCTGTGATCTACCACAATCCCATATATTTATGGGAAAGCTAAATATATTTGTACAAAAAATAGTGAAATATTGAAGAATAAATCTGAGAAAACATGTACAGGTTCTGTATGCTGAAAATTACACAAAGGCATTGCATACAGATGACTTTGCATATGGATGTGCTGCTGATTACGGACACTAATGCCCTCTCTCTTTAAGTGACTGTTGAAAGAGCTTCTTAACTGGGGAGTGAGTTTGAGCATTAGTACAAAGAAAAAGTTTGCATTTCTTTGTCTTTAATTGTAGAAAATGACGTCACTTCATTTGCTGTCTTGGATCAAGACCAAAAAGAAATTGTGGACACCAATGGAGCTGGAGATGCATTTGTTGGAGGTACAATAAATGACTTATCTAATATCGACTTTTTAAATACTTATTTAATCGCTTGTTGATGCTTTAGTATTTTCTTTAACACTTGTCTCTACCATACAGCCAACATTTATTCATTTAATCCTTTAAATCTTTCAAATAATTCTTTTAATGTTCTTTCCATGTGTTGCTAACATACATGGGATTATTTTAATAAAAGAAAAATATGTATTAGAGCTATGAAGATAATTTGTTCTTATGCTATACCCCAGTCATTTTCACAAGATAAATTGTATCTGTCAGAGTATTGCATAAACAAGCTTCATCAAGTACAGCACATAGTATATTCATAGCCCTCAGGTTTAAATATTAACACGTTTTTATAAAACTTAAACTGTGGTGAATATTAAACAATATATTAATAAGATTAATGTCTTTCCATTATATCCTTTGATAGATCTCTTTCTAATGCTATAGTTGGGTGTTAATTTACTGTAAATGGTTAAAATGTTGCCTGGTTCATGTGATTGAACTATGGTATGGTATGATATCTGTAAGATATCGTTCAGACTCAGTGACAACTGACTTAAATCATAAGGTCTAAATCCTTTTTGTAATATGAGGGGGTACCCCCCCAAAACGGAATTTTTTTTCAAAGCTATGTATTTAATTTTTTTTGCAAAACAACCTTATCACCTCCACAGCACTCTCGATTGCACTTAATACTTTTGTCAAATCTCTGATTCCATTCTTTCTTTTTTCAGTATGAATGATATGGTGTTTTATGTATGCATACAAAGAGGTTTTGCTTTTGTTTTTACTTTCATATGTGAACTTTTTTTTTTAATTTTAATTTTTATTTTTTTAATCATTTTATTAGGGGCTCATACAACTCTTATCACAATCCATACATACATCAATTGTGTAAAGCACATTTGTA